TCATGACCAAGGGAGAGCGAGTGTTCGTGCCAAGATGGGCCAACTTGAGGAAGGAGATCATGAAGGAGTGCCATGATTCCAAGTGGGCGGGCCATCCCGGCATCGAGAGAACGCAAGCGCTCATCGAAGAAGCATACTTCTGGCCGCGTATGAGAGACGACGTGGAGATGTATGTGAAGACTTGTCTTGTGTGCCAACAAGACAAGATGGAGCAGAGAAGCCCGGCAGGCTTGCTAGAGCCCTTGCCCACGCCTCAACGACCATGGGAGAGTGTAAGCATGGACTTCATCATCGAACTTCCCAAAGTCGATGGATGCGGTTGCATCATGGTTGTGGTGGATAGGTTCTCGAAGTATGGAGTGTTCGTCCCTGGCCCAAAAGACATGACGGCAAAGGATGCGGCGCGGCTATTCTTCAAGAACGTGGTCAAGTATTGGGGCGTTCCTAGCAACATCGTGAGCGACAGAGATGGGCGCTTCACGGGCCGCTTTTGGCGAGAGTTGTTCAAAATCATGGGCTCATACTTGAACTTCTCGACGGCATTTCATCCTCAAAGCGACGGACAGACAGAGCGGGTGAATGCCTTGTTGGAAGTGTACTTGCGGCACTACGTGAGTGCAAACCAACGAGATTGGGTGAAGTTGATGGACACGACACAATTCTCCTACAACTTGCACCGCAGCGAGTCGACCAACACGAGTCCATTTGAGTTGGCGACGGGGCAGCAACCTTTGACACCTACAACGGTGGCAACGCGGTATAGAGGCAACAGTCCGGCAGCCTACAAGTTCGCTAAAGGTTGGCACGAGAAGATGGAGATGGCCAAGTCTTACTTAGCCCGCGCTAATAAGAAAATGAAGAAATGGGCGGACAAGAAAAGGCGGCACTCGGAGTTTGAAGAGGGAGACATGGTGATGGTCAAGTTCTACCCTCATCGCTTCAAGCATCTCAAGAACGTGCACAAGGGACTACTTCGCCGCTATGAAGGGTCATTCCCCATCGTGAAGAGGATTGGCAAGGTGGCGTACAAGGTAGAGTTGCCGACGCACTTGGAGATCTATCCAGTCTTTCATGTGAGCCAACTCAAGCCTTTCCACGAAGAAAAGGAGGACGAGCAGCGAAGAGAGTCGCGGCGCGCACCAACACTCATCACCAAGACACACGACCATGAAGTCGAAGAAGTCATGGCGCGTCGTGTCATTCCTCGGCGTGGCGTACATCCAAGCTTTGTGGAGTACTTGATCAAGTGGCGCAACCTTCCGGAAAGTGAAGCAACTTGGGAGAAAGAGCTCACGCTTTGGAAGAACAAGGACTTGATCGAGGCATTCCATCAAGAGGACGCGACGAGGGCGTCGCGAGCATAGGTGGGGGAGGATGTCACATGTGGCAGATGACATGGCAGCTGCACATGTGGCATGTATGGAAGACTAGTAGCATAGAGATGCTCCTAGGATTCTCCACCTAAATGAGAGCTTAATGGTGCACTTATGAGTCACATAATGGGTGACATTTATAGAGTGCATAATGGGGGGACTTAATGGGGTGTATTGATGTAGAGGGACATTATGAGGGGCATTGATGCCTTGTATGAGGAGAGGCCTATATAAGGAGCCATCTCCCTCATTTGTAACTCATTCCATCATTTTTTAGAGTAATACACACTAGAGAGTTCTCCCAATCCTTTGTCTTTGTTCTTGTTTCTTTGCTTGCAAGTGAGTTGAGAAAAAGGCTGCCTAGCGCTCTAACGGATTTGAGAGCTAGGGCCGCACGATCGAGAGAAAGCTCGTGACAGTACCCGCTCACACACATATAATTACTTTTCCGGTATATTTAATATTCTAAATAATATATCTTCCTTAAATAACTAATATTCTTTATATTTGTGGAGACTTGTATAATTTGTTCTTTCTAATTGTTTAGAATGAAGTTGATATTATGAAGTGGAGAGTGAAGAAACTTAGTTGACAAGGAAGAAGCTTTCAATTAATCTTATTGTTTATAGATGTTTATCTTTAATTTTGAACAATTTGTATTGATCATTTGCGGTTTGCTTGTATGCTCTAGATTGGTGTTTTTTGTATGATTAATTTGTATGAGAAAATTGATGTTAAACTTTTATTTTGAAAGAAACTTGTTATTGTAAATTTTTTACCACAAAAACCCACGGGTACCCATGAACCCGCGGATACCCAGTGGGTTGGATTGGGTTTGAGTTTTTCAAACCCAACGGGTTTTACCCCGGATTTTTTTGACGGATAAACCCATGGGTTTGGGTTTGACAAAACCCGCCCCAACCCGACCCATTGCCATCCCTAGACGCAAATTATAAACTGTTAATTGTATCAATATAATAAGTGCCAAATTTCTCTATATAATTAACCGATGGAGTAATGAATGATTTGATACCTCTAACAAAGAATTGGAATACAAACACGTAAATAGTAATTGTCTTTAGGAATATGTTGTTAGTGACTTTGTTTTCTTTTTCAGCAAATACTTCTTTTTAAGTGGACAAATTAAAAGTTGGCATGAGTGCTAAAAAAAATTACATGTCACTCGTGCTAAACGAATTCATAGTAGACTAAGTGAAAAGTGTCTAAATTGCTAGTGTCTTCTGATTTGCGAGAAATTCATTAGAAACATTAGTGAACTTGTCTAATGGCTAGTCGGAGAAATGTTGCAGGTTAATCCACAATCCAACCGCTCTCACTCATAACCCACTCATACCAATTCGAAGAAGAGTGTTGATGGATAGCGGGTCATAATCGTATCACTACGGGCAAACGGAGTTTACACAACACTTATCTTGTAACACTCTTTAGAAGTGTTAAATAAAATAGATATATGTAACAATTTACTTATGTGTTGCTTAATATTACCTTATGGGACAAAAATTAGCAACACTAAATTTCTAGTCGCATATTCCTAATAATATGTAACACTTGTACAATAAACTAAATTGTGTTGCTTATTCTTATATTTTAGGCAACATTTTTGCAGCTACAAATAATAACAATATTATTGAATATGACAGCTATTATCAATTTTATTAAATACGTTATTTTAAAACTAATTAGAGTGTTGATTATGATGTTTTCATCCTTCACGCCATTGTAATCTCACTTATTAGTCCTTTGGAACAACATCCCCTAAACAATCACCCTCTTAAGAGTTGAGTCTATGAAATTTATTAGGAGTATAAAACATTAAGGTAATAATTTGGATAGTTTGAAAAGTTTAGTTAATAAATAGTATTTATCTTATTGTTTTTCAAATTAAATCTAGTTTCTTTCAACCTTGCGAATTTGCATTGTTATTCTAAAATTTGTGGTGAGGTAGAATTAATGTACATCATTGCATGTGTGTGTCTCACTCAATTTTTAATAATGTCAATCATGCCACTTCCTTTCTAAATTCAGATTAATTATGGTGAACTCTTTGAAATTTTAAAGTCATTAAAACGAAATGTTTATTGGCTTGAGCTAGTTTAACATCCTCCTAACAAATTTTTGTAAGAATCATGCTAACTAATTGGGCGTTAGCACCCTAACTTTTGTCATTCATAATCAATTTGGATGGAAAGAAAATTTTAATTTTACGCAAATTATATGTTACCATTTAATTTAACTTGAAAGTTAAAAGTAATGATGCCAAAAGACTTTGAGAGTAAGAGCGGTACAAACCAACTTATGAATTCAGCCATAAAAAACTTTGTGATTAAAAAATTTCAAAGTGTAACACGCGGTACCTTAAATTTTAAAATTGTCTATTAATTAATTACTATATCCCAAGGCATGGCAAAGCTCCTAACCGACCTCTTTTCCCTATCGATCTCTCTATCTTTCCCCTCCAGGTCTTTATAAACAAATCAATTAACCTAAAGTTGTGATGTCTAAAGTTCTAAGAAGTGTTAATATTTTGTGATGACGATATACTTCTCACAAAAATTATTTTTGATCACGAATCATACCATCACTAATATATACTATTTCCTATAATGTACAATACTCACTTATATTTCATATTTGACAATAAAAATCGTCACAAAAATACGATATTGTGACCATGAAAGCGTCACAAAACCCTCCTTTTGTGATACAACTACTATCGTAACAATGACTCATTTGTGACAACTTAAATTGAAATACATTTGGTGATGGAAGAAAGTCGTCACAAATGTATACTATTTGTTACTAGCAAAAGTTATCACGATTGCGTATGTCTTATGTGACAACGAAATTCGTTACTAATAAAGCATAAACATGTTGGTTATACTTATTAAATTGTGTTGTATAAAGTTTATGAGGTGTTGCCTAAATTAATGTTGCTTTAGGGATATACATATGCAACACATAGTTTTTTGTTGCATAATCTAAAAAAAGTGGTACATATTACTTTACACAACACCACGTACTAAAAGTGTTGCATATCGCATATGCAACACTTTCGGCGCTTCTTGCAACACATTTCAAGTGTTGTGTAAACCCCGTTTTCCCGTAGTGACGGCAGGAGGATCAATCCGATACTGAAATTCATCCAACTCAATCATTGCCCACATCTAATACTAACCACATATAGACTGTTGTTATAGTATTCGGAGCCCTGAAGGAGGGTGACAAACTTGTACGGTAGAGTAAGTTTTGATATGTTGAAAAAGTGGAAGGAGACCGACTAATTAAGTATCATCACACCAGCTCTAGAGGACAACTGGGATATCAGATTTTTCCGAACCTGTAATTGAGAAAGATCGATCGATTAATCCATGAGATTTCACACACTAGTTCTTTCCATCTTCCACTTCCAACCATCCCAAAGAAGAAGAAAAACAGACTCCTTATCCAAATTTCACATGACTCTTGTCACTTTCAAAATCATCACGGTTTGTAACCCACATTATCCCCTTTCTTTTCTCAACCCCTCACAAGAATCCCCACCTTTGCAAAACTACCCCTCTCCTTTTCCCCCTCTATACTTACCATCACTCTCTAGCAAACTATCATCAGAACAGAAGAACTACAGAACAGAATCATGGCTCTTCCACCTCACGATGAACTCAAAAGACCACAACAATACCCACTAGACTCCAACGCATACAAGATCGTCGACGAGATCGGCGTCGGCGTCAGCGCCGTGGTATACAGAGCACTCTGCATCCCCATGAACTCCACCGTGGTGGCCATCAAGTCCATCAACCTCGACCAGTCTCGAGCCGATTTCGACACCATCCGCCGCGAGATCAAGACGATGAGCCTCCTCTCCCACCCCAACATCCTCGAGTCCCACTGCTCCTTCACCGTGGACCGCTGCCTCTGGGTGGTGATGCCGTTCATGTCGGCGGGGTCGCTCCACTCCATCATCTCCACGGCTTTCCCCGACGGCCTCTCCGAGCCCTGCATTGCCGTGGTGCTCAAGGAAACCCTCCGCGCCTTATCCTACCTCCACAACCAGGTAATAGTGGTGGCCGGCACTTTTACACTTGGGCGACCCTAGGTTAACGGGAGGTGTGTCGATGCACCTCAAAAGTTTCTTCATTGTAAAAATATGAAACTATAACTTTCGAAACACCTCAAAAGTTGTAATTGGCACATTTGTTGTAATTAAGGATGATAATGAGTTTGGTTGGGATTGAATATTGTATCCTGCTCATAATAGTTTGAATTTTATTTATACTCGTACAAGAATTAGGTATATATCAAAACATACTCATGAGTCAATACCGATAGGCTTTCGGGTATTCATGGATGTCATGGTTAACCATGGATAATAATTTCTCTTCCTAACTTCAACCAACATGTTAATAATTTCACACATACTGAAATTATATAAGCGAAAAAATAAAACAATAAATTACTAAAATGAAGAAAATTAGTCAAAAATAATATAATATAATAAAAATATTTTACATTTATGTATGATAAATATCAAATATATTAAAAAGAAAGAATGATCAATTTTAATCAAAATATATACGTATGTGTTTAATCAGACGAGTTTGAGTTTGATAGTGAGAAAACCATGCACATCCATCACCCGCAATATTTTGGTTCGGTTTTAACACACCTACTAAAAACATTTCGAGCATTGATTATATCCACCTGATTAGGTCGGATTCTGACGGGTATTCATGAGTATGGTTATTTTTTACATCCCCAATTGTAATTGGAAGTAGTGGAATGACTTTTTTACTATGAAGTTGATAAAAATTATATGTGAAATCAGAATACTGAACAATTTATCAATAATTGTTGGGTTGTATTCGATGAAAAATATGAGTTGCAAAATACGTTATAAATATATTTCACAAACCTCTCATAATATATAAATTTGTTGCTTGGTGTGAAAATGTAATAAATTATGTACTTTATGAATTAAATTTATTATTTATTTTATCAGCAGACATATAATTCTAAAATTCTTGGGTCTGTCATTGTTTTTACAATAAGAAAACTACTCAACTTCTAGACCAATTAATGTGAAATCGTACTTGAAGTTATACCAAAAAAATTAGTCGTAGAGTATTTTATACTAAAATCATGGTTAAAATGTAATTTAACCACTTCATACCTCTAAAATCACTGGAATCTCATATCCGATATTTCCGATCGAAAAGGAATATGCTAGATTTCTAAATTATTGTTCCAGACCAAGGTTGTCAACCCGCGGGTTGACCCGCGGGTCGACCCACTTTGACGACTCGGTGAGAAAAACGGGCCGCACACACTGCCCGGGTCGACCGCTATAAGGTACCGGGTTGAAGGTCAAATTGTGTCATTTTTTTCTTTGGTTTGCGAAATGCGCATATTTTCCGATTTTTCTTTTCGCCTAACTCAATCTTTGGAATCCTAAGTTGAATATTTGAACATTGATATATATAAGTGTGTGTGAATTTTCACTTTATGCTAGATCTAATTACGATATGTTATTTTGGTGCAATATTATATGTTATAACTCATATGTTAGATAATATTTGATATAATTTATAAGAATAAGTACAATATAATGACTCTTTCCATATTTCCGGGCCAAATCGGGCTAAAACGGTTGACCCATTAACTCTTGACCCACTAACTCGACCAGATCCGGGTCAACCCGCGGGTTGACAACCTTGTTCCAGACAAAGGATAAACATAGTTCACCATATGCTAACTCCTGTTTTGATTCCAGGGCCACCTCCATCGCGACATCAAAGCCGGGAACATCCTCATGGACTCAGCGGGCCACGTCAAGCTAGCAGACTTCGGCGTCTCCGCTTCCGTCTACGAGCCCAACAACAACAACTGGGCCCACGGCAGTGGTGGGCTGACGGACATGGCCGGGACACCCTACTGGATGGCGCCAGAGGTGATCCACTCCCACAACGGCTACAGCTTCAAGGCCGACATTTGGTCCTTCGGCATAACCGCGCTGGAGCTCGCCTACGGCTGCCCGCCAATGTCCCACCTCCCGCCGTCCAAATCCTTGTTGATGAAGATCACCAAACGGTTCCACTTCGCCGACTTCTACGAGAAGGGTGACAAGAAGAAGAAGAAGTTGTCGAAAAGTTTCAAGGACATGGTGGCGAGCTGCCTGAATCAGGACCCTGGGAAGAGGCCGTCTGCTGATAAGCTTCTGAAGCAGTGTTCGTTTTTCAGGAACTGTAAAGGGCCAGATTTTCTGGTGAGGAATGTGCTTTCCGGGTTGCCTAGCGTGGAAAATAGGTACAAATGTCAGCCTAAGGAGGACGAGGATCACAATAATAATGTCAAGGTTAGGAGGATCAGTGGGTGGAACTTCAATTTGGACGGGTTGAAGGTTGAACCTGTTTACCCGACCGAGTTGGACCGGTCGACGACGAGTGACGATCATTCCGGTGGGATCAGTAGTGGCAGTGGTAGTGAGATGAGCTGGCCGGCGGCCGCGTCAGGGATCGGGGAAGATGGGGTGGATAGAGGGGCGATGGTGGGGAGCTTGGTGGTGCTGAGGAAGAGTTTGGATGATCAGAGGGAGAAGGTTGTGAATTTGATTGGGTTGTTGGGGGGAGGGGAAGTTGGCTTGTTGAGCAAGGAAGAGCAGCTGGCAGAAGCCAACGAGAGGTTGCAGCTGGAGCTGGAAAGTGAGAAGCAAAGGAGTCTGGAGTTGGAGATGGAGCTTGGGTTTCTTAAGCTCCTTGTTTCTGGCGCGTATGATGATGGTGCTCGGTAATAGCCGCTGTTGAATTTGTGGTTTCCTAGCATTTGTCCACCAGTATCAATGTATCGGAAGACTACCATTAGAATTCCCAAACTCAGTTTATCATTCCACCTCCATGATCCATGATTCCTGTACAAATTTAAATGATAACAAAGTCATTCCATGATTCCTGAACTACAACAGTTGCTAAATGATGATGGCCAAGTGGGAAGACTTCCTGCATAAACCAACTTTATTTGATCTTTTGATGTGAAAGTTGTCTGTTTTAACATCATGGCCTACAAGGAGAAAAGCCTTCCAGTGGAGCAGACAGTTTCAGCTCATAAGCTGCTTGAAAACAGTCTGCAGCTTGCTGCAACGACCCTTGCTGCTTTGAGATCAACCCGAGGTTCATCCATGCCTCAGGATTCGTTGGATCAAGACGCAGTGCGTTCATCAGAAAGCTTCTGGCAATTGGAATGGATTCTCCACCGAGTTTCATCAGCACCCCTGCTGTTGAGACGACGCTTGGTACATAGTCTGGTTCTATTGACAGTGACATTGAGAAAGAAACCAGGGCTTCCCTGAATAGTTCTTGAGCTTCAAACAATGTCCCTGCCCAAAAAAGTGCATCCAGATTGATGAGCTTTCACCTTCATCAGCCAGTAGCCACCAATCATTCATTACAGGGTGAAAATTGACTGATACCGCTCAAAGACATATCGAATAACAGGAGACCAAATGAAAAATAATTAAAAATAACAGATTAAAGCCGGATCAAAAGTGTATTCCGCTGGATTTGGTCTAGTCCAATTTCAATATGATCAACTTATTTTTCTTAAGGGAACCTATGAAACCAGAACAGAATAAAGCTATGTTCAATCCGGTCGATCCAGGGTCAACCGAATTGTTGCACACATTACAAATTAACAACAATCTTACCTGTTGTATGCCAACCTCTGGGAGAGAAGAATTCCATAAGCATGGACCTATCAATGCAAATCTTAGCGTCTGAGCATAGACCGAGTTTTATGTATATGGCAGCCAAGTCTTGCCATGCTGCCAGCTCCAAGTTCCTCTCTGCATTTCCCTGAAAGTGTAGAAGTGTCTCCTACAATTAATGTTTCACCTTTTGTGATATGGAAATCAATAGTACTGTTGAAAAAAGAGTACATACAGTTGCAAAGATCTGTACTTGATTATCTGCACTTTTCGCCTGTAGGTCACGCTGTCCCTGAATAAGAGATAGCAACAATCTGTATGTCTCTATTGCTTCTTTGGGTTGTTCCTGAGCAACTCGAAGAACAGCCTTCAACCTAAGAAGCTCCAACTGATCCATCCTTCCAGCTTCATCCAAACCGAACTCGACTACCATTTCAGCATCCTTAAACCGCTGATCTGCTGAAATTACATGGGCCAATAGCTTGCACCCTTTCACTGAGTTACCAGATACTGCTTCAGCATACATCATGGCATTCTGAAATGCTGCATCTTGATTCCTTTGAAGCGAGTTCTCCACTCCAAGAGCATACAACACTTCAGAATCCTCCTTCCAGGTTAGAGCTGCATGATTCAGAGAGCTCAAAGCCTCCTTCTGCAACTGATTCCTCTCTAAATCACACACAGAACTTCTTGCTGCATCTCCAAGGCAGATACCGAGTAACTTGTGAGCTTGAGGTTTGAAATGTTCGCTCAGATCAATTGCTTTCTCAGCAAAAGTAATGCCTACCCGGCAGTGCATTTGGTTTAAAGAACACAGTTTTGCTCCCAGAAGATAAGAACTCACATTAGGTTTGTGGTTAGACTCGGAAAACCCAGAAACTTTCTTCAACAAGTTCAAAGCAGTTTCATTCTGACCAGCAGCATGATAACATAGGGCAAGAACATACCATCTCTCAGATCTATTGTACACGCCTGGGAGAATTTGTTCCACATGTTCTGCCAATAACTCAAACTGATCTGTAATGGTGAGTGCATAAGTCAAATGATCCATGATTTCTTCATCCCATTTTATTTCACCACAGGCAACCTTACTCATGAGTAGTAATAACAGAAGGATTGCTTCTTCGGTGTTGCTTTTGGGAGTATCCGGGCCAAACAATTGCAAGTGAAGAGGAAGTTTGGTCTCAAAAGCACCGTAGAGTAGCATGGAAGCCAAGTTCTTCTGCACTTTAGCCAACCTCCAAGGTTCCAAATTCCATGGCTTGATTAAAGCTCTTCGATATGCTGCAATGGCTTCATCAAGCTGGCCTGCCCTCGTCCACAGAACGGGGAGTAACTCTAGAGCCTTGTGTAGCATTTCCTCTAGCTTAAAGTGCCTGGGAACGCCTTCAAGCATGCCATTCGGTAGGGATGATTCGACTATGTCCAAGATAACTCGGCACTCCTTTGCAGCCTCTGTTAAATCGAATAAAATCCAAGAACTTATGAGGTTTCTAAGACTATGATGCAGCTCTAAATGCAAGTTAAAAAGGATGAAGAAGCTTTATGACTGTCTATAATGAACATTACCTCTGAAAAGTCCCATTTCCTCGAGTGACTTAGCCTTGAGCAAGGTCGCTTCCAGAAGTAGAGTGACTGAGTTCATGGACATTCCACTTGTTGATGGCGGGGGAGTTTCGCCCTTGTTGTAACGCGGCTTCCTTTGCTGGGTTCTTCCAACGATGGCCATGATCATTTTGGGTTTCAAGCCCTTGATGTCAATTCCCCGGAACACCTGAAGTGCTCCATCGAAATTCCCTTTCTGGTACTCCAGCCGTCCCAGCAATGCCCTTGCTTCCTGCAACATCGAATCACAATTTACACCAAAGAACATCGCCAAACAGAAAACTGAAATGTGATCAAATTGGATGGCAGCAGGGGACCTCATAATTCAAGGAAAGAGCCTCTTTGAGAGTGGATTCAGCTTCATCGACTTGAACATCCTCGAGTTTGGAGCTGGACTCCCATTCGCCGGCTGTCCTGGAAGAGAGGCCGCCGGCGGAAAAATCTCTGGTGGCTAGAGAAACCGGCGACGGCGGCGCCTCCTCGAATCGAAATTGCTGCTCCCCTGAGCAAGCGCACAGCATCTCTCCCTTCTCTTCTTTTCCACCCCCAGGAAAAAATATCAACCTTCTGATGGATGGGATTTCACTCAAACCCCCATTCAAAGACTGAGGTCGCAATGTAGATCAGCCTAGGAGCATGTGAATGGCGATTTCTTTCGTTTCAATGAAACAAACAAACACAAGAACAGCATTAGACGAAAAGACGGGTCAGAAAGATGGGTGGGGGAGGCGAAAAAAGGGGAAAGGAGCGAGCGAAACGAGAAGACAGAAAGAAAATAGAAAGAGAGAAAGCTATAGGACCAGAGAGAGAGAGCGAAAGTAGCTAAGGTCAGTGAGCAATGTAAAAGGGACGCAACAGAAATTGTGTTACGCAAAACGGAAATCCAAGCTTCGGGACTCACCAAAGCAAACCCAGAAGCCAGAAACGGGAAAGAATCATTGCAGCACAGCAGCAGCCATGAAAGCTACCTCCAAGCTCTCTATCACTCGCTCGCTCACTAAATTCCTCCACTTAGTAGTGAGATTTTGGGGAATGGATTTGTGTTACAGAGAGTGTGATAATGACGATGCGAGGAAGAAAAGGGAAGGGGCCGGGCAAGGGAGTGGGCTTTCTTGTCGTGTAGTGCCGAGCAAAGCTCCGTTCACTCGTCTGGTGCACTGTTATTATGGTTTCAGGGGTACAAAGCCCAGAATGGCAGAGTGCAAAGGACAAATAAATTTCGTCCTTTTCTTCCTGGGTTTATTATTTGGGAGGGATTCATTGGTAGAGGAATCCGAGGAAGCAGAAGAAGAAGGATGGAGATGGCGGAATTCACAGTTGATGGTGGTAATTTTACTATAATGTTGGCTTCCAGCGAGAACGTGGGAGGGGGAGGGGACAATCTGGTAATGGGGGAATTAATTTACTAATCCAGACAACGTGGAGTGGGGATGGAAAGGTTAAGGAAGGGCGTAAGAAATTAAATGATTATAATAATCAGTTGCTAGGGGCTAGGGAAGCGAGACGATGGCGATGGGGGTCTTTTCTGTTTTGACCAAACCAACATTACCGCAACCATTTTCTTCGCTGGCGCAGTTGTCTGTGAGCGAATATTTGCTGGGCATTGGGCTAATCCCCCGTTCCCAATTAATATTTATTTAAACCTTTGAAAAGAAAATCAAACAAATGGAAAAACCTCGTTATCCAATTGCATGCTAATAATTATCTCTGTTGTTTTCCTTTTTATTACGATAATTTACAATATCAACAATAATCTCGTTATACAAAGTCATAGAGGTGGCAATTATGATCCAAATCCATGAATCCAATCCAATCCATCCACCTAATCCAATCCATTTAAATCCAATCCATTTGATCCAAATCCAATTGGATTGGTGGATTCATGGATCCATCCATGGATCCAAATGACAAATTACGATTTGGTACCTATATTTTTTATATTTTACATTTTGGTACCTAAAATTTATATTTTTATACGAAAAATAGCATTGGAAAATTACATTTTGGTACCTAAAATTTTTCATTATGACATTTTAGTACCTAAACTTTTCAAAATTTACATTTTGGTCCAAGCCTTGGATGTTATTTGAATTCATAGATCAATCCACCAATCCATTGGATCCAATCCATGAATCCACCAATCCATTGGATCCAATCCATTTGATCCATTGATCCACGAATCCAATCCACGAATCCACGAATCCGATCAAATTGCCACCTCTATACAAAGATCAATGCAGTCAAAATCTCGTTTTAAAGCGTAAAATCGTACGATTTTACCTTTTTAACCCACAAATACGCTTCAGTTTCTACGTAAAGTTGAATTGTATGTAAAATCATAAAAAAATAATTTAAAATCGGTAAAATCGGACAAAACCGGTAAAATCGTAAAAAACGATTTTAAAATCGGTAAAATCGGACAAAACCCACAAATACGCTTCGGTTTCTAAGTAAAGTTAAATTGTAAGATTAAAAAGCCCTAACTCATGAGATTAGGGAGAGGTTAATTGCATATTTGTAGAGTGATTTTGTAGAGGTTAGTTGTAGATTTGTAGATTAGGGAGTACTGCCCACCATTTTGATATTGTAGAGGTTAATTGCAGATTTGTAGAGTGACTACCGCAATGGCAGTTTTGACTTAATGGATTGCTTATTTATGTTCTTGGAATTGGTATTAGCATAACTGAATTGATATTGTTTATTGAACTTCTGTTTATTTTCAGAATTGTACTAATTGAACTTCTTTCTATTATTTAGAACATTTATGTGCTTTCATTTCAATTTCAAAGAACTTGGATTATTAAACTTGTGTCATTATGTAAACTTAAATCGGCTTGTTGGCATTTGGATTTGTAAAGTCGTTTATGAGTTGCTTATGATGTATGTTTATCAACTTATGTTTCAGATGATATCAGTCATGATTTATTGCAGGTTGCTATTCACTTATATATATACACTAACATTTTATACATGTCGTACTTAGCAGATTTTTAGCTATTTTACAGGATGCATAAAAAACTTACGCTTTTACCATTCAATTATGTGCTTTACGATTTTACCCATCCACCGCTTATAGTTAGAATCGCGTTTTTGACTGCATTGACAAAGATTGCTAATGTTGAACGGATGAAGGATTTTAAGCCAATCTCGTGCTGCAATGTGCTTTATAAGGAAATAACTAGAGGGTCGTTTGGATGGGTTAATTGTCAATGTGGTATTTGTAGAGTCAAATAACTCATTTATTGTTCATGTGGTATTTCAGTGGTAACTAAAATAAAGTATCTCGTTTGGTTGAACCATGCAAATGTGGTATTTGACATGTGGTATTTGGTAAAAGCAGAATGTTGAAACGAGTTATTTTGAAATAACACATGGGTATGACTTATTTCAAATAACTCGTTTTGAGTTATTTGTAAATAACTCATTGTCCAAATAGCTAATTACAGTAAAACGCTGCCAAACGAGTTATTTGTGTCCAAATAACTCATTGTGAATAACTCATACAAATACTCCATCCAAACGACCTGTAATACTTTGGCTATAGTTCTTCTTAAACCCATTAGCATATCGCAGTCAGCTTGCGTGAAGCGCAGGCTAATTGGAGATAGTATTCTAATAGCTTATGAATTGATTAAAGACTACAACAAAGCATATGTTTCTCCCTAGATGTGTAGTTAAAATCGATTAACCATGTTTCTATCATATTCCTCTTCAGCTCCAAGTTGATAATACGAGCGCTATTCAGATTGCCACTAATCTAGTGCATCATGACCGCACGAAGCACCTCAAGGTTCATCTTCATTACATACGAGACTTGGTTCGTGATGGTATTCTTCGCCTATTCTACATCACCTCGGAGGACTAGATTTCAAATCTATTAACCAAGTCTTTCTCGGCTAGTCATCATTTCTATCTTTCTCGCAAATTGATGACGAGAGATCCTCATCAATTTGGGGGAGGCTGTTGAGTCATATATATTCATGTTAAGCTTCTGCCCATTCCCCAAACGTCGGGTCTGTGGGTGTAGGAGGTTAGGGCTTGTTGAGTGTTGGGGTCTAGGGTTAGATACCCTAGTTTGTATATACATGTGTATGTAACTGAACCTATTGAAGCTACAGTGAATAAAAGATACAATAGCTTCATACAGGATGAGAAAACCACGTAACTCTATGTGTTGATTTCTGTTTTTATATTTCCGTTATGATTAACAACCTCTAGCCAACATATATGTTCTACATCGAAGAAAGAAGCAGTCGAAAGGATGGAGGTGCACAGACAAGAGGATAATGACCTCAAGAAAGGTTGGGGAGAACCAAACCCAGAATTGCTCCAAGATCTGCCTACAACCACAAAATCAGAGGAGCAACCCCAAAACATGGACAAAAAAGTGTTGCCTAAACCTCCACTGATATGAGCAAATCGGCAAGAACCCACCTCTCTAGAGACGTCTTACTCCACCACGTTCTGGACACCTAACTCATTTTGGAGTGATTAAGTAAGCCAAGAAGGGGTTAATTATGGTGATTACTCACTCCTAGTAGCCATCTTGACTATTAAGGGAGAATCAGAATGAAAAAATAGCATTTATTAATTATATTTTTGTTAAATTTAAAATGGAAAGATACAAATACACATTACTTACAGATTTCTCTCTCCAAAGTAACTCTCTCTCCCTTCCTCTCACTTCATTAGTTCTAAGGCCATTTTTTTCTTCTTCAGCCACCAATTGCCAAACGCTGAATTCTTCTTTGTCTCTATTTAGACGAACAAATACCACTACAAAAATAAAACAAGTAATTAATACCAAATCATAAAATATACTAACATAAACAACAATACAATCACAATATTAATCAATACAATACATATTAAGGGTAATTGGCATAAACGGTCACACAACTTGTCACTTAGTACAAAACGGTCACTAAACTTTATTTTTGCACGTTTCAGTCACATACCTTTGGACGAATACCAAAACAGCCATTCCATCCAATTCCATCCAAGAAACCGTCAATTAAGTCTAGTCAGCTTAACACGTCATCCCAAAAAATAAAAAAAATAGATGAATTAGACCCACTTAACCAGCCAACCCAACCCAACCCGCCCGCCCAACCCACCCATCCGTAAAAATGGGGACGAGCGCCAGCGAATAACAAAAATCCCAGCAGTCGCTCTCTTTCGACAGGAGAAAGGACAATCCTCTCCCCTGCTCGTCGCTTGAGATCTCTCGATTTCCTTATGCTTTCTACATGTGTGTTTGTAACGTGGATTTGGTGCAAGAAAGAAACAATCAATTAAAAACGTGGAGTCTCAACCGAGAGGGAGAATTCTCGGTCAGGACAGCCTACCACGCTGTACATAAAGCCACTACAAATTTCCAGCCGAATGGTAGTGAAGAGAAGTGGAAATGGATCTGGGGACTGAATATCCCACCGAAGCTTAAATTCTTTTTATGGAGATGTTCCAGAGATGGGTTGGCAATGAGAGCAAGACTCTTCCAACGCAAATGCGCTCCTAATCCGAGTTGCCATGTGTGTCAGAACCCTATTGAATCCCTTAACCACTGCCTTTTCTACTGCCCTCATGCCAGGGAGGCTTGGTATAGCACTTTCCCATCCCTTCCGATTCCTCCCCAAGGCACCTGTTTCTTTGATTGGTTTTGCTCCCTCAAAGATATCATCCCTCAAAACTCCCTGATTCATATTATCTACCTATGTTGGAACATCTGGAAGGCAAGAAATGAGAGCACGTTCAAGAATCGAACACCCTGGCCCCCAAATGTGTGTCTGCAAACCTATAGAGAACTTACAGAATGGATTGCTTGTCCGAGGCCCCCACCTCAAGGTTCTGATGGTCCCACTCAGCTCAGGGGATCCCATCCTACTACGAATCCACCGCCAAGTAGTCACTCAATTGTGATTCAATGTGATGGGTCGTTCTTTAGCGACCCCCAGTCGGCGGCATATGGTGTTGTTGTTGTTAACCACCATGGACAAGTGTGTGATGGGAGAGCTGATAATCTTCTTTGTTCCACCCCGATTGAAGCAGAAGCTAAGGCGCTTTTGGAAGGAATTAAATTAGCACAAGAATATGGATCGGTATGTACTGTGCAGTCTGACTGTCAAACACTGGCAAAGGCCCTGAATCATAATCAGTCTCGATGGCCCTGGATATGCGCAGCCTGGATTAGAACAATGGTCAATATCCTTAGGAATAACCCAGCTATTTCGGTGGAAGAGGTCCCGAGGACAATGAATGTCAGAGCTGATTGGGTTGCACGATCAAAAGCCAAATCTATCCTGCCAGAAGACTGGATTAATATTCTTGATCTAATTTATGTTCTCCTCTAAATTATGTAATAGCTTGTGTGTAAATTTGATTATGGTGGAATAAAAGTTGATATGATTTGTAAAAAAAAAAAAAAAATTTAAAGCTTTTCCCTTGTTTATTTATCAATTTCATTCCCCTGCTCCAACTCTCTGCCGCCTCCAAATTCCATAAACCAATAATTCCTCAACCAATACAAACTTGTCATTACAAAATAAACCCAAAAGGTTTAACAACTCTCCCCGGTACATTTACCATCGACGACTGAGAGGGATTTGAAGCAGACATCACAGCGGATGCCAGATGATTCTTCCTCGCCGGCGGACAATCTCATCATCCCTCCTCGCCGAAGCCGCCCACCCGAATCCTCCTCTCCCTCTCGCCAGTTTTCGTTTCTCCTCGTCGTTATCCTCTCACAGCAGCAATCGGCAGTACGCCCACTATCGCTGGCCCAGCTCGTCCCGGATCCAAGCTGCCGAACCCCTGTCTCAAATAGGCGGTCACCAGATCTGCTCTTCATCGTCATCCCAACGGTCGATTCGTCTGCTCCCACGGACAGACCCGCCCTTCAATCGCTAGAACCAGGTAGGTGCAGCGGCGGTGCTTGCTGGAGATACAGGGATGGCAGAGAGGGGTCGTGGGCGGATGTGGTTGCTGGAATTTTTGTTCTTCGCTGGCGCTGGTCCCATTTTGACGGGTGGACGGGTTGGGCTGGGTTGGGTCGGCTGGTTAAGTGGGTCTGATTCGTTTATTTTTTTTTTATTTTTTGGGATGACGTGTCAAGCTGACTGGACTTAATTGACGGTTTTTTGGATGGAATTGGATGGAATAGCCGTTTTGCTATTCGTCCAAAGGTATGTGACTGAAACGTGCAAAAATAAAGTTTAGTGACCGTTTTGTACTAAGTGACAAGTTGTGTGACCGTTTATGCTAATTACCCTACATATTAACTAATACCATTACAGATTTAACCAATATTAATACACGATGTTCAATACCAATATAATAAAATCAATACCAAAATAAATATTGATACCAGTCAAACGTGAAACAATACCAGTACTAGTATGAAAACTAAACAATACTATTTTAGAACCAAATCAATACCAATCCAACGTGAACCAATACCACAATTACTATGTGAAAACAAACAATACCATTTCAGAAGTAATCAATACCATTGATGAGGGAAATCAATGCCATTTCTCAACAATCTCCCACTATAGCAATGACGAATGTTGCACTTCCCTCCTTTGCGATCCCGGTGAAGAATAAGAGCTTCTACTGCGACTTATCACCTAGAAGAGCCAGATGCTCTTCGGGTGTCCCCCGAGAGCATCCATGGCGATTCTAGCAGAGGGAAACGGCGAGAAAGCACAGTGCTATGAAGAAACTGTAGTTTTCAAAGGAGCGAAACCAACATCTAGTGAGTAATTGGGCCAGTTGGGTTTAAGGGTTTATCTGATAAACTACATGTAGATTGTTGCAACACTATTGGCCGCGGCGACTGATCGACGAGAGGAAGAGAGGGATGGAGAGCGACGATGGAGGAAGAGCTGAGGAGAGAGAGGGGGGAGAGATGACCTGTTAGGGTTTGTGGAGAGAGACATTTATGAAAAATACTATTTTAAAGAGTAATAATCACATATGGGTATCTTTTACGTTTTCAATATTACCATGGGCTAACCTTGATCGTCGATTTAAAAAAATGGTAAGAGAAGAAATAGCCGGTTTAGAGTTTGGTAGCCACTCCGACTACTGAAAAAACAGTGACCATGCTAACACTTTCCTAAGCAAGGCATTTCAGTGTTACCTACCGCCTAGATGCGACTAGATGTACATGGATTCACAACTTCTTCAGCCCTGATCATAATTAGAGTACACATTAGTGTTACATGATGGAAATTAAATATTTTTTCTAATAGGTTCTATACAAGGAATTTTAGCAAGAATATAAATACTTTTCCATGTCGTTTTTGTATTCCTAATCCATTAGAAGTGATGCTATAAAACACTAAGATTTATAATGTATTTGATCATAAAAATAAGTTATTAGTAGACCTCCCCCATAAACATAGACAAGCAAACACAACCAAATAAATCTTGTGTTTTGCAATTGCTGGTTTTATGCCGGTTGATGTTGAAGATACTACAGGGAGTACCGGGCCGGCCGAGGGCAGAACAGGTCGCTGTTTCGTGGAGCCCGGAGGAGATCGAGTGCAGCCCAGAGGCTTATTGGGCCCAACTTATACCATTCACCGTCTTGTTTTCTCAACTAACATTGCTGTCGCCGAGCCCGTTAGAATAGCTTGCTCAGCCGGCGACTTTTTTAGTGGCGGAGCTGAAGAGTGAATACAACGAGCGGCGCGGAAGAGCTGTAAGACCACCGAACGACGAGAAACGAATTAACTGAAAACAGGTAAATCCGTGAGCAGAAACAAGTTCCTCTTCTCCGATGTCAGCCGCCGCCGCCATCTTCTCCTAATTGTAGCCGCCAAAGAATCAAAAGCAGCTTGCTTCAGTTTCGCCCGGCGTCCGGCGAAACAAACAGAGGCGCGTGCTCTCGTGGCCGAAGATGCCTAAGAGATGTGGAGAGAAATTGCAGACAGAGAAGCGGGAAAAACCCGACCAAATTCCTTCAAAAGCCGCGTCACATCCGGCTTGAGCTCCGATCTACAGCTCTCCAATCACAAAGACATCGTTTCCCCTCACAGAGGTTCCGTCAATTCTCTCCAGGTGAAAATTTGCTTCGTATTCTCTGGAATTCGCCTATGGCTTGTCGAAATTGCATTAGAAAGCGCCACTTTCTTTTTCGTTCTACTGTTTTTTAATGGTGAAATCAGGTTGATTTGACAGAGGGGAGATACTTGTTGGCCGGTGCGGCGGATGCGTCCACTGCCGTTTTCGATGTCCAACGGGCGACAGAATATGAAGGCGGCGGAGCCATCGCTAAGCACCGGCATGTATTCGCTATCGACAAGCAGCACAGGGCTGCCCATAAATTCGCCGTATCAACGGCAATATGGTATCCGATCGATACTGGGCTGTTCATCACTGGTTCTTATGATCATTATATCAAAGTCTGGGATACCAACAGCACCCAGGTAACCTTTGGGATTGATCTTTCTTTCAAGTGGTTGCAATTGTAAAGGTCTTTCTGATTCCTGGTTTTGATTGTTGTTTGTTTTTTTTTTTTTGGGCAGGTTGTGATGAATTTCAAAATGCCTGGGAAGGTTTATCGAGCTGCTATGTCTCCCTTGGCCACCTCTCACATGCTGATAGCAGCTGGGACTGAAGATGTTCAAGTTCGACTATGCGATATTGCCTCAGGGGCATTTTCACATACACTTTCTGGTCATCGCGGTAATGCTGAATGCTTTTAATGTTGTTCATAATGAATGAACTCTTACTTGCTAGCCTGTTCCGTAGAACTCTTCTATTCATGGGAAGTTTTATCCTTTCCGAGAGGTTTAGTTGCTTGCATTGCTAAGTGCGCCACTAAACATTCAAAACTCCAGCTGTAATCTGGTGTCTTAATCTTAATGTATTAAGATGCATGACTAAAGACTGATAAAGGAAATGATATTTTCTCATGATGGGCAGATGGTGTTATGACAGTAGAATGGTCTACTTCAAGTGAATGGGTGCTGGTTACAGGAGGTTGTGATGGTGCTATTCGGTTTTGGGACATTAGAAGAGCTGGATGTTTCCGTGTTTTAGATCAATCTCGAACTCAGTTAGGCAGGCGCCTACCTGTCCTTCGCCGCTCCATGACCAATAAGGTACTTTATGTTCGGGCCAAAAAGTTTGAATCAATAGATACCACGTCCTTCAATATGGCCAAATTCTAACCAAGTCTGTCTTAGGAAAATTTATTTGTTTATAGTATGTTTTCTATTTGTAATGGTTATTGCAGAAAAAAACTGTGACTGGGAATGGAGCAAAACAGCAGTCAGCTCTTGGTCGAACACCAGGAAAGGGATCTGTTAAACCCAGAATGCATCCAGGGTTGTTGTCCACGCAAGACCGTGCTACTGCTCACTATGGTGCTGTCACAGGTTCCAGAGTAACTGAAGATGGCATGTATCTTCTAAGTGCAGGTTCGAGCTGCCTCTCTGTATTGTATATTTGTTTAACAAAGGAATAACTCAGTGTTGTGGTCAACTTGATCTTACATTGATTATGCATAATTCAGGATCTGATTCAAGGTTAAGGTTATGGGACATTGAGTCCGGATGTAACACTCTCGTGAACTTTGAAACTGCACGATTACAGACCAGCAAGCCCATCCAGATGGCGACTTCTGGAGATTCAAGACTGGCCTTTGTACCCTGCATGACAGCTGTGAAGGTAACCCCATTGCCTTATTCACTGATCTTCCTCTTGCCCTTATACATGGAAGTGCTACTACGGGATATGAACATCATTCTAACTGTGGAACCTCGTTTTGGATTCTCAGGCGTTTGATCTTTGGTCCGGCGAGACATCTATGGTTCTTCGTGGCCATTATGAGAATGTTAACTGCTGTTGGTTTAGTTCCCAGGATCAGGTGAGCTGATTTCCAATTAACCCACAGTTTAATATTGACTGAGTCACTGTAAGTTAAACACGTCGCTGACTTGTTTTGTATTCTTACAGGAGCTGTACACAGGTGGCAATGATAGACAAATTCTGGTCTGGTCTTCTTCCAAACCTCACGAGGTGAGCTCTATATGTCAATCCCTACTTAAGCCATTTGACGTCCGCGTATAAGCTGCTAATCACGTTTATTATATGCACCGGAATGCAGGATGTTTCGGTGGCTGAAGATGGAGATAACTGGAGTGACTGACTGAAACTTGCTCCATCAGTCTCAGTTGTGTTGTAAAATAGGGATGCAAATTTCACCACTGTGTTGTGTATCTTGTGTTTGCTTTATGAGTTATAAATAGGTGGAAGAACAAATGCAATCTCGTTTTTATTCGGAATAAAAAACTAGTTGTCTACTCAATTCGAGAAGACCTCTCTCTTTACACATCAAATTCTCATGATCTTGCTTTACACAGACGAAGGGGATAACTTACACATCTGAGTTCTGTCTAATAAAAATTTTACCCACAAAGGTGCTACTTATTGAAGAAGCTTCTGGCAAGTCACAGTACCTTCAAACTCAAGAAATCTGCAGCCGCCGCTACCTCCACAGCCAGCCATCTTCCTCCTGTCTTCCGCGGTAAGCTCTGAGAACCCGAAAGTATCCCTCCACATGTCGAGCACACTATGAGCCGCTGGTAACACCAGCTTCTCCACTCCAAACCTCTTGAGCTGCTTCTCCAGCTCGTTCATCAGCAATCGACACATCCCTTTGCCCCTGTACTGCGATCTGGTACCGACGAGTGGCAATTCGGCCATCTTCCCTCTCAGGATCCTGACGTTACCTGCGCACGCTACTTCATCTCCCTTCTGCAGCACAATCGTGTAGAATCCCACGAAATTGAGCCTCCTGAGGTCCGATCCTTTACTGTAAATCAGGTCCTCAACTATGTCTGTTCCGGAGAAATCGTCCTTGAACGGTTCGAAGCAATCGTGCAGGATGTCTATGGCAGCGTTCAGCTTTTCTGAACTGCCCGAGTCGTCTTCAGTCCATCTCAGTAGCGTCCAGGTGAGATCGCTTCCTTTGCCGAGAGGAACAGGTTTTCCTACGAGCTGTTGAAGCTTGGAAACCACGGTACCACACTCGGTACTGCAAAACCATTCCCCCTTAACAGATTTCCTTCTGAACTTCGCCGACCGTTTCTTTTTCAGGCAAGGATCATGGAACTTGAGCTGGCAGTGGTGGCAGCTCAAGAGAGGGGCAGTACTTTCTGTTTCACCATTATCGTCTTCGATTCGGCCGCAGATGTCGCAGCAGCAAAACGGGCAGTACCAGTCTCCCTCAGGCAGCTCCTCCAAACCGACGCAGCTGTAGTGGAACGACGATGGGCAGCGATCGCAGCACAGCAAATCGCCGACTTCGCGGCAGACTGAGCAGATCAAGTCGTTGGCATCCTCCTCCTCCTCCACCACCGCCGTTTCCTTCTTCCTCCGCCTCGTCCTCTTGTCCTTCATGATTTGGGCGCAGCACTCCGACAACGACTTGCCGTTCTCCAGGAAAATGCTGGCCGCCGGCATGTGCCTCTTGCTGCCGGCGTGAATCTCGAAACCTGACAGGCTGAAGGACTTGTTGCAGCATTGGCAACATATACCTTCCCGCTTTACAATCCCTGTCTTCACTTCGTTCTTGTTGTTGCGGCAGCTCACTTGCGCGCCGAGATCCACCGCATTGCCATCGATCAATGTCGAAAGCACGAAGTGAGATTTCCTCTTGGAGCAGTCCGCCGCTTCCAGCCTGATCCTCTGTTTCTTTGGCGGCGGCGGAGGACTCTTCTTCCTCTGTTTCTTCTGCGGCGGCGATTCACCCTCACAGCTACCATCAACAATCAGCTTCCTCTTCGCCTTTGATTTCGTCGAACCCGGAATTCCTGCTACGATCTTCCTCCGTTTGCTCGTCTCGACCGGCTTCAGGACCGTATCTGGAGACGAGGCCCATCGCATTTCACACGATTCGTCGTCGTCGGAGGACGATGAAACTCCGATTACTTCCAGTTCAGGACACCGACTCCGCAAATTCCGTTTCTGAGAAACCGAAACGGCCTCAGGTGTTCTCGGCGTTTCGCGTTTCTTCTTGGGAGTTTCGACCACCGGCTGCCTCAAATCCTGACAGAGAACTCGGAGAGAAAGGTAATTGAGGGTTTGGTCCGGAGAGATGTACCGGAATCTGAAGCTATTCCCGTTGCTCTGGTACTCAATGCTCCATCCCAATGCCAACAGATGCTTCCGGATCCCGATCACGAGAGACTCCGGCGGCCGTTTCGAGCCCAGAGAAGCGTACTCCGTCACGAATTGGGGGCAGAATTCGGGCCCCGATAACAAGTCCGAACCCACCGGCTGCCAACTCTGCTTTCCCTTCGAAGGCGGCGGCGGCAGCAGCGGCAGCGGCGTCGTCGTCTTCCCCATCTCCTCGTCTGCGTTCTCCGATTCTTCGACCAGGCAGCCCGTCGGACGAGAATCCGCGACTGCATTGTCGATCCCGAGCTCGGATTCTTGATCGGGCACCAGATTCGGGCCGTCCAACCCGAACCCGACCCACTCAATGAGCGGCCAGGTTCCCCGCCGCCTCCAAGCCCCGGTGGCGGAATCCCAATCCTGAGTAACCCTCAATTTCTCGATCCCGGTCCTAATTTCCGCGCACGAATCGGTCAAGAAGACGATTCTTTGATCCGACCCGTCGAGCCGATCGGCGACCACCGCCTCCCACCACGCCCTGTCCTTCCACACGTCGACGCAGAGGCCGTAAGTGAAGCCGAGCACCCCGCATTTTGCCGGCGGCGGAATTGGCCTCAATCGGGTGGAGATGGAGCCTGGGAAAGGGGAGGCGACGACCTCCACGATCTGCTCGTCGTTTTGAGAGAGGGCATTGTCGTACCTGACGTGCAAACACCGGTCGTCGTCGGAGAGGACGACGACGGTGGCGATTTGCCAGGAGCCTTCGAATCCGGCCTGGAAGGTCTTGATTTCCACTTTCTCGTTGAGCTGAAACGGGTGGCTGGGCTTGGCCAAAAGCTTCTCCACCGCCATTGCTGGGTTCTTTAGGAATTGGAATTGATTTCGTTGAAGGGGCGAGGCATAATGGTTTATAATGTGGGTGTGGAAATACGGGAGACAGAAGGAGAGACGGAAAACTACTAGTCCGTATCTGGGTCGGAAAAAGCTCCGTCCCGCCGGTGGTCGCTTTCCTTCATTAGTGTGGAAAAGCGTTTCCTTTCCGGAGAGTATCAGGGTTTTGCTTTTTTTCTCCTCCTCCTGTGAGTGAGCTGAAGGTGTTCGAGAAATCCAAAAAATTAATTAAATTTGGTTTTGTTACCATTAGGGAGAGGAAAGAGTAAACAGATAGTAGGTAGAGTAGTACTAAAGACACGGCTGCTGAGTTTAAACGAATTACGGTTATCTAAATCTTAATTAAAGAAGGGAAAAAAGGCTTTTTAAGATTTATTAATATTTTTCTTTTTACCCCTTTACTTCGACTTTGTGCACGTCAGCATCTGAGAATTAACTGCACTCCGGCCGTTTTACTTTTTCTGGCGCGGCTGGCCCGCACTTTTTGCAAGGGATCTCGGGTGCTTTTTCTATTTATGAAGAAGAAATTAGGCCCAGTTACGTACATCAAATTCCGGGCCAAGTTGTTTTGAGGGCTAACCTATTGGGCTATCTAGTGTCCATGTTAAGCCAAATAGGCCTGCGGCTGCATGTCTCATCGCGGCATTGCCAAACTCCATTGATGGGAAGAATTGGATTAAGGTAACTTTATGCATCATATTATGTAAAGGTATCAATGAAATATTTACCTTTTGATGGGAGAGTAGCTGATCGTCTTGTACCATAATGAGGATTTGATCCCTATTCATGGGGTATGACCGTATGAGAGTAGAGTTTACTTACCGTTGAATTATTTATTACTTTGTGTAATCACCTTATGAGAACGACATTACAGTCAAGTTTATGTTCTCTCTCGCTTTCCGACATTGCAGAGTTTGGCTCCTTCAGAGTGTCTCTTTGGATCTCAATTCTCTTGTTGAAGATAATGCTCCTACATTTTCAGACTCTAGCATGTTGACGGAATGTGACGTAGGGGATGTCGTTTCCAGCACTTGTACAAAGAAAATAATAAAGCAAGAACTCTCAAAGGAAATTGCAAGCAAAAGAGTGAGAAGACAAATATTTGGGTTCCAATCTTCGATCCATTAACTAGAGAATGATTACATATTTATAGGGTAGAAAATTCTGACAATCCCTCCTCCTTCTCCGTCTGGGTTGCGACCTTTTTCTTCCCTTTCCTACCCAAAATATGAAAATATATCCTATAAGGAAACAATAACCAAATCCTTAACAAATACTAAAAATAAATCACAATCCTACTAAAACAAATAACAATAATAATTAACGCCAGAAATCATGAATAAAACATGAATAAATGCAAATATAATAAAAAAATATATAAGTCCAGTCTTCTCCAAAATGCTTGATTGTCCCGATCTCGTAACTCTACATCACACCTCTCCACTCCTAATTATACTTAACTCAAGTGAAATAAGCTTATCAGTGAGTAGCATGTATCTCTACTCTCTATGACTCCATTGGCCCCATAAGTATGGAATAACCCATCCCAAACCGAAACTACAATTCACTAAGTACGCATGGGTTCAAGTCCATAAAACAACTTTAAGAATCCACAAAAGCCCAAAATGGTAGTACAAGCCTTTGCCTAATGGTGATCGTCGGAGAGTAGATGACGAGGTTTGTCCTCTTTCACAAATATGTCATTCATACAAAGATTTTGGATCAATGAATTTTGAATCAAGCTTCTGTGTTTCTTGGCGGAAACAATTGACACACTAGATAGGGGCCAAGAAAAATAATAAAGACAAGAAACATAATATGAAGTTTCAAAGCAAAAGGTAGTGAGCAAGGAAAATAGAGTAGAAAACGCCTCCTACAAATATCCAAAGGAAGCACAAGTATAATATTATTTAATAAAATATGGATCCATGAAAGAAGATTGGAGAGAAGCAATAAAAAAAACTAGGTTGGGATTCAAACTGACGTGGGCTACCCCGTTCTTTTCACAAATCTGTCATTCACACACATATTTTGGATTAATTTGAATTAAGTGCCCGAGTTTCTTGGCCGAAAAAATTGACACACTAGGAAGAGGCCTAGTAAGAAAAAGGAAAAAAGAGAAGAAACGAAACTTGAAGTTTCAGAGCAATAGGCAGTGAACAAGGAAAATATAGAAAGGACGCATTTTACAAATATCCATAGGAAACACAAGTATAATATTATTTCATAAAAAGAGGAGCATGAAAGAAGATTGGAGAGAAGCAAAACAAACTATGTTTGGATTCGAACCGACGGCGGCTGCCCCCGCTCTTTCACAAATATGTCATTCACACAAAGATTCTGGATCAAGGAATTTTGAGTCAAGGGCCGAGTTTCTTGGCGAAAACAATTGACACTCTAGGAATGGGTCAAAATAATAATAATAATAATACTAATAATAAAAGAGGAAACGAAATTTACAGCCAAAGCAAAAGACAGTGATCAAGGGCAATAGAGGAGAAGACGCCTCCTACAAATATTTAAAGGAAGCACAAGTATAATATTATTTCATAAAAAGAGGAGCCACAAAAGAAGATTGGAGGAAAGCAAGAAAAAACGGGTTAATTGCAAGTTTGGTCACTCGAATTGCTTTAAAATTTCACGTTTGCCACTCAAATTGATTTATTCCATTTATAGTCACTCGAATTAGTTGAACAGTCCAAGTTTGGTCACTCTCCGTTAGACTCCGTTAGTGACGACCGTTAAGTGATGACGTGGCTAACAGAAAGACACAGTCAGCATATTTTAACATTAAAAAACGACGACCCGACCCGCCAGCTCAGCCTTACCCTCCCTGTCAGCCATTCTTGCCCAAACCACGAATCAACCCAATTAATTGACCCTAAACCCAAACCCGAGACCCGCCGTCGTTGTTGGTCTCCGCGATGTCGGTGGTGGGTGTAGTCTCCTTGGGAAACGCCGGCTTGTCGGAGCTCCGAGGCAATTCCAAGTTCGCCGCCCAACCATCCGCTTCTACCTCGCCGTCGTCGTCCTGGTCCTCCCTCCCCAGCAGAACCGGGATGCTTGTGCCTACACTCCGGCATTCCTCGCCGCCTTGTCCTCCCTGCTCCTCCTCCACCATGGCGGTGACGGAGCTTCGTCTTCTAGGCTCTTCCTGGTCGAATCCGCCCTCGCCGTACATTTCTTCAAAAGGGTTTTCGAGTTACGTACTTTCTCCCAGTTCCAATTCAATCCAGCTCCAGCTCTTTTCTTCGAATGGAATTTTGATGGTTTTGTGGTCGAAATTGCTTGATTGCAGACACTGTTCGTACACAAGTACAGTGGCACCATGGCGCAGGCACAACGATTCTGATAAGTGTAAGCTACTTCAGCGTTACAGCGCTCACAATCTACACCCAGATTTTGACGCAGGAGGCCCTGCTCCCAGAGCCAGCCATGGATTTGAGGCTCTACGGGGTGGTTCTCTTTTCTCATCGGGATTGCTGGCAATTTCTATCACCATTACTTACTCTCCAAGCTGAGATCCTCCGGCGACGATGGCAAGAAGAAAGAGTACAAGATCCCCAAGGGTGGGATGTTTGAGCTGGTGATTTGCCCTCATTATCTGTTTGAGATCCTGGGTTTCTACGGTATCGCTCTCATCTCCCAGACGCTCTATTCCTTCTATGGAAGCAGGTGTATGAAAATCCTGTACAACAGGTATGAGCTTCTATGGAAGCAGGTGTCAATTCTCAGGAACTCAGTACTCACCTGGTTGGTCTCGCTAGATCCAATCAATACGTTGGACAAAATTCCGGCCAGGAATTAAGTACCACCGACATCGCGGAGACCAACAACGACGATGGCGGGTCTCGGGTTTGGGTTTAGGGTCAATTAATTGGGTTGGTTCGCTGGTTGGGCAAGAATGGCTGACAGGGCGGGTAAGGCTGAGCTGGCGGGTCGGGTCGTCGTTTTTTAATGTTAAAATATGCTGACTGTGTCTTTCTGTTAGCCACGTCATCACTTAACGGTCGTCACTAACGGAGTCTAACGGAGGTTAACGGAGAGTGACCAAACTTGGACTGTTCAACTAATTCGAGTGACTATAAATGGAATAAATCAATTTGAGTGGCAAACGTGAAATTTTTAAGCAATTCGAGTGACCAAACTTGCAATTAAGCCAAGAAAAAACTAAGTTGGGATTCAAGCTCACACCAAGCACTTCAAAGGCAAGCAACTCTATCACAATGCCACATGTTGTCCTTTAACAATATAGTAGGCGCCAACTACGTACTTTATATTAACTCGGCAGAGCCAGCCTATGATATTTCAAATTCGTAAAAGTGTCACATGTTGCCCATGTGACAATATAGCAGGCGCCGACTTCTTAATATCAACTAGGAGGAGCCATCCTCTTCTCTTCGACGTTAAATGAGCTCATACCAAGTCCCCATCAGTATTAAGTGTTTCTCAATAAAGGCATGCGTATCTATTTATCGTGGATGGGCTAGACGCCCAACATTTCATATTCGTAAAATTTTCAAAAGAGGTATTCGAACCAAGATCCTTAACAAAAAAAAGTTAAGCTCCTAGATAAACATGTTAATTCCCATTTGGTATTATTTTGTGCTTTTCAAGGTCAAGCACACTCTAGAATGATTTGAATAAACAATTAGATCAAGTTGGAGGATCAAGAGGGACAATTACTAGAAGATCAATGATGATTCATCCATAAACTAAGCCAAATGATGGGAAAGTCTTCATGAAATCGTCATAAAAGCACAAGAGGAGTCAACTGGAGCCCAAGCCAATGAAGAAAACTTTGGCGGCCTTGTGATGGAGCCAACCGCCCCTAAGCTAAACCTATCAAGTTGTGCTGAAATTCCCACAAGAGGTTACTTGTGGTGAAGAAAACTGAATCTGGAGGAATAACTAAGATGGTGGTAAACAAAACAGAGCAACTTTGTTCATTAAGCTGACCTATCGAAAGTAAGTTAGGGACTAATTTTGACACATGAAGAGTATGAGGCAAATCTAATCTCACGGTATCAACTACACAAATTCCATGTACTTGCAGCTGGTTCCCATCAACCACATGTAAAGAAATATTTTTAAATAGAATAATGTTCTTAGATTACTCGTATCATATGTCATATGATTAAAGCACACTGAATACATATGTCAAAGAGTAGTGTTAAATGAACTTTGGATTGTGGGAAACCCTGTATCAATGGCAGTGGGCATAGATTTCTAGATTTCAACATTGACTAAATGCTCGATATCGATTACAGAGAGGTTAGAGCTGTTGCCTTCGTACAAAAATTTAATGGCTTGTTCTCGTGGGTGACCAAAAACTACAATTGGGCCAGGCGTGGGAGTTGGCTAGTGGCAGCAGCAGCTAGCTGCTGGAAAAGAGGCGTTGCCGGGTTTGTCGGGTCGAGGACAACATATATGGGAGGCCTAGTTGTTTTCTCGAATCTCGCCCATGATCACCATCACCTACAAAAAAGCACCTTTGGGAGTAGTGATTGCAGCAACGCCCGAACGAGTTTTGCTCACCTACAACATACAAATTGCTGCCTTCAAATTTGATAGCTGCATTCGCCTCGCTTCTCTAGTGGATGCATCATTGCAATATAATGTGGTCTCTCCGCTTGTAATAGACACAAAGGAACCTGTCTCTGAAATTGTGTCGATCCACAACGAATGCGGAAAAATTGGTAGCAGCGAAAACATCCTCCCCTGCTCCTGGCAAGATCGAAGTGAGCTTGAGTTCTAAGGAGGATCTCTTCTCGGACTAATTGAGCAAGAACGTCATCGAAGTAACCTTGTTTAAGACACTCGGTCATATGTATTCAAACTCATGCCTAAGACGCATCAAACCTTGCAAAAGATGCGTCTGCTGTCTCTCATGGAGAGTATATTCTGAAATTACTGCTTGCATCAAAGTAGCACTTAAGAGATCATGTTCTGTCCATAATTCTTGGGCAAGATTGAAATACTAAGTAATAGAACGATCGCGTTGTTCTAGTATAGCCAACGCGGTTTGAAGCTCAAATTGACGGGTTGTCTTCATGGTAGAATAAGTGGATGACAAGTGCCTCTGCATTCAATTGGCGGTAGGAGAATGAAAAAGACTCAGGCATGTTGAAGCATCTACGTAACCCATTAGCCACGGCCTGACCTTTGAGTCATTCTGATTTCATGCAGTGATTTATTGAGTTGCGGAAGTTGCCTCCGGTTCGGGACGCTGCCGTCGAGAATACCAAGAAGGCCACTACCTTTGACAAAGATAGTAAAATGTAGGAGAATGATAGGTTTCTCCCACTTCATTGGTGTAGTCTATGATATCATGTTAAACGTAGGAGAATGATGTCAAAATAAATTGAACTGGACGAAATTAAGAACACAACGATATACGTGGTATATCTAATGATCATGACTAATCCATAGGAGAGTTTCTCTATACTAGTGATGTTATTATGATTTCTGATAATCGTTACAACATACACTCATCGCATATATACAGATGAAGAGGAAACAAAATCAGCAACTTGTCTACATGGGCCTAGTCATCATTGCCCTTAATAGGCCAAACAACATACATCATACCATTACTACATGGAGATTCTTCATAAGAACATACCTATTCAAAATTTCCAGCCTTCTGAGAGTTTGTAGGATGGACATTTTTGTCATTTGAACTATTTGAATAAAGCATTTTTAGACTTCTAAATCAAATAAATATGTCTTTACATTATTTATACTTGTAGTGATAGGATTTTTATTCATTAACAATAAATATATGTCCAAATAAAATATTTATAACCTTTAGTTTGAAAACTAAACGTGTGGGACGTTAAAATATTGGGTTGGTAGCTACGCCGATTAAGAATCTTTAATTAATAAAGATTTCATATTTGCAAACATTTTAGTTTTACCATCAAGTACAAATTTCAATGAAATGAAGGCGAAGAAGAAAAAGTTTGTTAATGGTGGAGGTGGCGAATTCGAACATAGTGATAGCATAATAATGTTGTTGAGAAGAAGGGATAAACTATTGATGGTGAACAGAGTGGTTTCAATGATGAATATGAAACTACAATTATTGACAGATATGATGATACATTTGGTGAAGCAATAACAAAGAAGTCCATAAGAAAAATTAGAGTAATTCATATAGCAAGAAGTAAATTGAAGTGTAGTTTGATAATAATAAAAACGAAGAGTTAGTCTTCTTCCCTGAGTTTTATTTTTTATTTTTAGTAATAACTTTCGTTGATGAACTTGTTAGCATATAAAAAACTCTATGATGTATGTTCCTTTTTTATTATTTTATTAATTGAATAGTTTAAATCTTTTGACTTTGATATCAATAAAAATATATCTTTGCTTCATACAATTACAGTGGTTGCTTATGTATTTGAAATAGTGCATCCAGCCAACGAGTAAGGTACCATGTTCGTTCTATTATTTTTTCAATAATTGAATAATCCATATCTTTTGACGTTTGATACCAATAAAAATATATCTTGCTTCATATGATAAACCTGGTTGCTTATGTGTTTGAAATAATGCATCCAGGACGGTTTCAAATCTAGTATATACATGGGCCAATGCCATATCGACTAATAGATCCACCCCTACAACATTCTTTTGGGGACTTTTGTGTTCGTGTTGGACTTTACACCCACTCCCCCCTCCAACCCCCCGAGTGTTTTTGGCACAAAGGAGTTCAAGGGACTCTCATACATCCCCAGGAGATTCTCCATTAGTACATAGCCTATGTGTGAGCACTTTTACATGGGTTACAGGGGCTTCCTACATTCACAAAGGATTCCCCATTAAAGTGCGAGTATAGATACGTATGAGGCATGCTATTTGTCGGCAACCAAAAACAAAATTCAAAATTAGTTATAATACTTTTTCGGTAGAGGAGTTTTACTACCTACAACATATCTAACTCTCAGAAAACGTATCGAATCAGAAAAAATTGACGCTCGCCGGAAAATTTGCTAGAAAATCATCGGAAAAGCCGAACCTCAACGTAAACTGCGCACACGCATCCATGAACCATCACTAAGCACGTGCGTCAATTTTTTGGAGTTTCGAACAATTTTATCGGCAATTTTTAAGGGACATACGCCTGGCCAAAAGATTCCGGTGGCCGGAACCTGGTTGGGTCCAAAGACGGCAGGTTCCGGCCGTCGTAATCTTTCGGCCCGCCGTTGAAATTTGTTGCCCAATTTTAATTTTGGGAGTTGAATTTAGCGTTTAAGAGTTGAATTTAGCATTTAAAAGTTGAAATTAGCGTTTAGGTTCACAAGATTATTGATGTGTTATATTGTAACTGTAGGGAAAATGTGAGAGTGATTGCCGGCCGATTATGATTACACACAAGAATTTGAGAAATGGATCCATTATGCAAGTGTGAAGTTAGCTAAGGATGTTGCAAAAGCAATAGCTCAATCGTGTGGGTTCTTTATTATCAGAGTAGCATGGAAACCAAATATTGAGGCACATCATCCTATTACTGCCCTCTGTTTGTTTTGCGACAAAAACAGTAGGATCGAGAAGTCTTATAAACCATATCTTACGAAGAAGAGACGTGGGAATACTAGTTCGAAAGGTACTGGTTGCCAGTTACAAATATGTATTAATGATTATGACAAGAGCATGGTCCAATAGAGGGTTTTACAATCATGAAAAAGTGTTGTATCCAAAACATCACCGACACAACAAACAGTTTAGTGAGGCTGAAAAAGAGAGGTTAAGATTGATGAGGAAGGCGGGGGTGAGACCAAATCAGTAGAAGATGACACTCAATAC